TGCTTTTCCCTATTTCCCATCTGGTTGATGGAGAGAAGAACCTTGGCATATAAATGCTTAATAAATCGCAGAATTCTACTACCGCTCAGAGGCTCAAGGCTCACTGTCGGCTTGTGTGTTGGTTTGCTTTGTTCCCTTTTTTGGATTTGGTTTTATGACTCATGATCTCAGTATTTAGTCATTATTACCGATCTCAATAGCATGAACTGGTGCCTAATGAACCTCCTCACTGGTTTACTTCATTTATTTCGAAGATGAAAATAACATCTGGGAGTATTAGGTGACATATCAAATTGGAAGTATCTTGGAATTAGTTTGAAGGTTAGTTGTATCCGGGGATGGTTTACTTTGACCATAAGTTAGTACAATACGCGTAGCAGGATGAAATGCCTTTATAAAAATGAAATGTCAGTTTTCACTATCCATTGTTACTTATCTGTTCATGCATTCTAAAGTTTTGTATACCTGCATGCATGGGTACTGTTTTTAAAGTAGGCAGTTGATTTTCTTTACAGATCTTGCTTTAACTAGGCGTTAGTTCCATGTGATATGATCTTGACTATTTTTACCGAATCTTTTTACTCTTTAGATAGCTAACGGATGATATTAGTGTTGTACATAAACTTGACTCTTCATGTTACTGAGGCTCAGGGATCCTTCTTTGAGTCTCCACTGTCATTCTTACATCCTTCTCTCACTTTTATAATTGTGCTTTTACTTAATGTGTTGGTTTTGACAACTGCAATATTTGTGGAGCCATCTGAATTACTTTGGTCAGCTGATTTATGTACCTGGTTTACTTAATGATGTATCCTTGTATTAAATATAGACATATATCTGGCGACTAGAATTATGGCAAGGATTTCTTCCAGTCAAATCCAAATACTGATGGAGCGACAAGATAAAAGAGGTGAACAAACAACCATGAGAACCGCTGAGGCACTTACTGAAAAGCTGGGTGAAATACGACCGGTATCAACATCAGTGTAACTTGGATTATCTTATATGGATTCTCTCATTTTTCAAATACACGATTTTGATTTTTGATCTACTTGTAGAAATTACATTTGAATCACGGTTCAAAAGGTATGAAGACCCGTTTCTTGTTGACCATAAATCGCTTGGTGATGCAGTAAAAGTACGCATTATTTTCAGGAAATTGAGCATTGTAGAACATGACCGTTGCACAAATTTTATACTGCCATGGGATTCTGAAGATATTTGTTTTGATGAAATATTCAGAATTCCGTCACACTTCTGGAGGGCAATAATCTCTTTTTTGGACTAAATAACAATGTTTGAACACTAAAAAAGATTCAAGCAATGACTAGGTCAAGCATGCCTGTCAATAAAGAGTGTGAGCGTTTTAAACTTTTATGGGTGGCAGAAGACCAATTTAAGTGTCTTGTTTTCGTCTGTATTCTAAGATGTCCTACAGATGCTGACATGTGTGCTCCTGTTTTGTCTAAAATGGAACGGTGGCTGAAAGTAACACTCCAGGAAATCACAAATGAGTACCAGATATCATGAACTTAAGGGATGAACTTGGTCATGATTACTGACTGCTCTATATATGTCTTGTTGGCGCCTTTTGGCAATTTACTGGTGTATGCACTTCATTTTCTTTTCGCTGGTTCTCTACGCTGTTCCTATATGTGATGCAGATGCTTCTCTGCTCTTGGCGTGCGTTGAACTTATTTTATTCTTGTCGATGCTCTTGCTGCCATTTTTTTGTTGGAAATTTACGTTGATCAATCTTGTTAACTTCGCCGCCTCTTATGGATGTAGCTGTATGCAGTAGCTTTTGCGCAGCCTTTTTCTTTTGTTGTTGAATCTAGGTCCTGAAATATTTCATATCTTCTCCACTCCACTTGACTGATAGTATTAGTGGGGAAATTCTAAGGCGCGCTTCGGCCGACGCGTTTAGTCTGAATTATGGCTTCGTTCTGTTTAGTGTAATCCAGTTTCAAGTTCTAAACCAGTTGGTTAGGTGCCCGGTGGCCAACTGTTGGGGTAGTTATGTTCCAAAAATAACTGCTTACTGCGTATACGTCGTAGTATTATCTCCTGCGTTTGCTTTGGTCAGCCATTTCGCTCTAGTTATGCATGGTCAGTGTACAGTCTTAGATGAGGTTTGTTTTCGAATTTTTCTCAGCTCAAGCACCACGCAAAACATTGCTACACCTGCTTAACGTTACTTGATGGGCGTTTTGGTCATGGCACCCTAAGATCTCTGTGAAATGTAACTTTCATTTGTTATGAGATACCACCCTGTAAGCCAACTTCGTCGGTTTGTTACTCGGAGTCGCAAAATGAAGTAAGGATACATGCACATGTTGGGTGATTATATTGCGTGTTACATATGTTACAGCATTTCGTTTTATCACATGACCATGAAGTCACTGCTTCGCTTGTCTGTAGGTAGCTTGAGGTGACGACTTCCAACCGTTACAGTGGGTTGCACACAATATCTCTCTTTCATCAATGCTTCAGCTTCTACCCCATATTCCTCCATCTTGTGAGCGTAGCTTCGTCATTTTCGTTACACTGGCTCCTACGGCTGAGTCAAAGAAGAAATAAACGTGCATAATTTAATTAACGGCATTTTAGCCATTTGTGGTGTATTTTGTGTTGCAATCTCTCAACCGAGTTCTTGAAACCACCCGGCCGAAAGGATGCAATGTGAACTGCAAATGTCATGCATCATCTCAAACTTATTGCACATGGTTCGAAAGAGAATTTTCAAGGGAGTTGTTGAGTGGTATTGCTTTGCGATCACTTTTACGAACTTTCGTGCAACGTGTCAGTTAATCTCCAGTGCGTAAAGTGAACGAAGAAATAAAGCGACACATAGCTACACATGGCTGCATAGTGCACTAACCTGAGGCTTTGTAAAGCAGATTCATAGGACTGGAAAATTATGGTAATGATTTTCGCCAGCTACCCGACGTTCTAGCGAGAAATGGTTTACTGAAGCCATGAACGCGTAGTAGCAGTTGAGACCTGCCAAGTTAACAAGGGGAGCTTAAGCCAGGCAGCGTAGAGTGAACGTACTATGCCTCGAATTTTCGGTTATCAAATGCAACTGCCTTACCAACGAGTTTGAGTGGGCGGGAATAGACCCACGATTATTTGCTCGTCTATCATCATGTTTAGGTGATCGCGTCCCTGAGTTCCAGATGGATCTTAATCCATCCAAGGAAACGATATGCCCTGGCGGAGTTGCTCAAAGTTCTTTTTAGGAAACATTTCCTCTTCTTCATTCGTATTAGTTTTTCACCTCAGCAAACACATTCCGAATTCATGATCTTTTCTGACGATGGGAAGAGGATAAAACCAGGGATGGAAACAACGAGCTAACTTTCCAGAGTGATTTTAAGCAACTTCAATGTTGGATAGACTACAATGGGCTAGCCTTAAGTCTTAATGGAAATAAAGTTGTAGATACAAGGTATGATGTTTGTCACAAATTCGGGCTCAGTGAAATGCAGGTGAGCTCATCCTTGGCAAAAAAGCAGCGGTAGGTCTTTTCCTGTTATTGCCTTAAATCTTACGCTGACAGTGGAAGCAGTGCTTTTCGTACCAACCTAGCACTTACGACCGTATGACAAGTCTTCGAATCGTCTGGTCACAGGTGCCTTCATCGAGTCACTGGCAGCCACATATGAACCTAGGTGGACTATATTCTTTAGTCCTCTTCTCTGAAAGCACAAGAACTGTTCAAGAGACAGCCTGAGATGACGTACCCAATCCATTCGCGCGCTAACCATACCATGAACCCGTGGCGGTAGCCGGTTCGTATTGCTTGAAATACGTTGAACTGAGTGGCAGGCTCCATACCGACGTAAAACCTTTCGAGTCCTTCAGACGCTTCCGTAGTGGGGATTGCACAGGCTACCTTATCAAGGTATATTAAACGCAAACTCGATGTCCGCCTATGGTTACAGTATGGGCTGAGAGACTGAGTCGCCGATAACTTATCTTTTTAATTTTATGTGTAGTTTATTTTTGTACCAATTGCCTCAAGAGCAAAAACTAGTAGTCCACCGATACTGCATTCAGAGGCCAGTGTCGCGAAGTCTTTTGTCCTGCCACGAATTATTTGAGGTCGAAAAAGATCAACTGACCCTTATGGATGCTGGGGTTGACGACAAGAACAATATCCGAAGTGAGCATCAAAAACACTATCGGTGTTGTGAACTTGTGCTACTCCAAAGGCAACTCAACTTGTTCACCGTGAGCTTTCGACAGGTAATAGACGACTTGGTAACAGCCTACAAAATCATCCATAAGGTGGATTAACCTAACGAGATAACATTATCGCTTCCAAACCGACAGTCCCGTAGGAACCCTACCCGAATACCCCACTAGAGGGCGAAGATGAGGGTAAGATTCAGTTTTTTCCCTCGCAGAGTGCGTAATGCATGAAACGCTCCAACGAAAGAAGTAGTCGCAGCCAAATCAGTCCACTCCTTCAAGACAACCGCTCGATAAGTACGTGAGCACAAACGGCCCATCACCAACGTTTGCCGGTAGTAGTTGAAGATATGCTCATCCATCCATGCACTACCCGGCACCTGTATCTTCAATAAAACCCCAGCATTTCCCACTTATTCTTCACACCTACCTTTCATTCTCATTTTCTCATTTCCTAATGGTCCTATTCTGGCAATGGTTTTTAAATAACGCTTAGTACTTAAAAGTGCTTGCAAAAACATAAACTGCAGGAGGTTTATTCACTTTTTTACAGCAGATTCGTTGTTTTACCAGGTACATTAGCCTACAGTTTGCAAAATAAAACCTTCAAATAAACATTATCACTATCTCCAAAGTTATAAGACGGTAAAATGGCAAGAGTTCTGCCACCACTGAAGAAGTGCAGCCGAACAAAAGAACTTGGCATGAAGACTAAGGGGGGAGTGTTTAAAAAACAGAGCATTCTCTTCTCGTACTAATGATGGATGGATGTTGGACGTGTGTTGGACGTTGAAGCCAGTTAAGTAGAATGAAATATGCAGTGAACGACCTTCGTCTGTGCAGCGCTTCAAATAAAGCTTTTGCGGCAGGTACGAAGTTTCTGTCTCATTTTTTCGTATATATTTCCATCCTGATAAATGTGGTGAGGTTTATACGGTCAGAAGTTTATTTTATTCCTGCCTATCAAGGAGACCAATATACAAGACGTGTTTACCATCCCTACGACTAGGTACAGTGAGAGAGCTGCGAACTCTCGCGGCTGATTATCGTTAATGTCTTATACAGAGTAAGAGGAAAGTTAACGTGCTGCTGGGCAACCCTTAAACTTATGGTCGGGTCTTTGAAAATTTCCCAGTTGCATCAATTTATTAAGTGAGACATTGTAATTCCCCTAGTGAATGAAGCTTCACTTCACATAACCGTAATGTTGACGAGTACTTTGTTACCGTGAAGCGTGTTAGTTGTTATGCGACTTTCAAATGTTTATCTTAATGCCTTACTTATTTAAGTCTTTCAGATGGTCAGTTGTGTTTTAAATGCTAATCTTACTTAAGATTTTCAAGATTTCTGGTAACTTGTAAAAATGAAAATCTTTCCGTTAGTAATTATCGTTAGCATAATCTTGTGAGGCAGAATCCTTTGATCACCCGTAACATGCTAGGTAATTCATTAGTTTTTCTGCTGTCACCTGTAATGAAGTCACAACCTATTTCTCTTACTCTAGTTCGTTATCTAAGAGGTCATGACTTCAAAGTTACAAAAGTTTAGCAATGTTTTCTTGACCTTAAATTTCGTCCCACATATTTTGTTGATATAAGGTGTATCCAAGTTCGTTTGTTGAAACTAGATCAACAGCGAAAAGCGGTGATCCCCCGACAGATGAGCATCATCTGGAAAATAGAAAATATGTGTAACAGCCGCATGAGCCGGATCTCAGTAAGAACATGAAGATATGCTTGCACTCACTAAGCCTTCAAAATTCAAGATGATGCTTTACCCAGGTTGTCAAACGTTACATTGGGGACCAATGGGATTTTCTGGCGCAATACATAGATTCAGCACGTTTTGTTGGTCATTTCAAAGAATAATAAAACCTACAATGTACCGCAAATTGTGGGCATTAATGTAAAACTTTTCAGCGATATCTTTACTAAACTGGACTGAATCTGTCTTAACACGACACTTCCTTCCATTAGTATTTATTTGCGAAGATGCATTTGACTGAGAATCGTGCTAACGACATTCTTGAGTTTACGAAAACAATATAGGGCCATCAGCCCGCCTCTTCATCTCACCATGGTGATTACCAGGTACTTTCAGGTACTATATTATTCGATGCAAATGTTAGATTCCATATCTTTAAAACAAGCGAGTGTGAGCTTTTTTTCTGCGTGCTTGCCCTTCACTGTGACCAAATAATAAAACTGCTCATCACAGTTTTAGATATGAAAATGAAAGCAATGTATGTTTCATTTAGGATACGTATTGAAACGAAATAAGGACATTAAAAAGCATAATTTAATAATTACATTGAACCAAATAAGCGAGAGAGTTGTGCAGTAAGGAGACCTGCAGTACGGGTTGTTTTCCATTTCAGTACTCCCCCAGCTAAATAACCTGATTCTGTGTCGCGATTACTCTGTTTTGGTTTTTGAAGTACTTCCTAAGCATTTTTAGCTTGACTACTCTCATTATGCTTAAGTGATCTCCAGTGCACCTGAAGTATCATAGTTTTCTGCAATGGACCCAAGGGTTACAGAAGACGCGGTTGAGGCTTCATTGTACGTGAAGGAATGTAGTGAAATAACCGTAACAGATTGCTTCTCGAAGCTTGTACTGATCTACACATGGTTGCCGATAATTATTACAGTAAACCTGGTTGTCAGCGAATGGGAAAAATCCGGTGCTACCCTAAATTTGCCATTTTAAGAGAACTTATGGATTTGTGTTCAGTGGCTCTTTAATATCCAAGTGATAAAGTGGTGTATATGTTAGCTGGCTGAAGCAACCTTTTGAATATCCTTCTATTGATTAACTCAGAATAGTGCAAAAATATGTGGTAATTTAAGAAAATTCAAACAAGTGGTTCAGTGATTTTTGTAACCGTTTTTCAAATGTTATAAGTTCGAATGTTTCTCTACTCACATAGATTTAATCAGCCACGTATTGTTAGTAGCCCTTATACAACAGATCCACCTCATAACTTACTACATATACGCCGGTACGCTTTCGTGATATATATATATATATATATATATATATATATATATATATATATATATATATATATATATATATATATATAAAGATAGTAACTTGACCTGATCTGTCTTTTTTTCAGACTGATTACTGTACATCAATGAGGTTGAGCATAATCCTACTAAAATCTAAACGGTGAAAATTGAAAAAAATGTCAACTGCTAGTTCGCATGCGTATAACAACCTCAGTCTAACAACTAACCCCCTTGCGACAATGATGAAACCTGACATCATTTCGATGACAACAAGTAGTCAAGCTATAAATGGTGGTAGTGGGGAACTGACATCGTCGTCTTCTACCACATCACTAAATCGTGCCAACGCCCCTTCAAATTCACTAAATGTGAGCAGTCATACATTGGATAAAGTGAAAGTTGCAAAAGTTACATTGGAATACTACTACGACAATTTAATTGTTCAATATCGAGAACGTCAAAATAGGTCAGTTTAAATATTTGCTTTTTAGACAAACTCCATATAAAATGAACACTTTAATTGCCCCACATTACATAATATGACAACAGAGTCCAAAAATGAAAAGGTATAGGACACAAATGAACAAACAAAAAGTGGTCAAACAGTCGGTTACATATGACACGTTAAGTACACCTTTCGTTGGGTTTGTATCATTTTCGTGCTTCACAATATCTGTATTTGCCTGTTCATAATAGCCTATCATTGTATTTCAGTTTACGGACGTGGGTTGCGCAAAAGATTTTTTTCGAAAGTGTATCACAAGAGTGGTCGTATGTGCAATAATCCTTGTGACCTAAAACTTCTTGAAAGAATGAATATGTTTGTTCAAGGCTGATGCTACAACAAAGTAATACCAAACAGTGTGCAAAAATATGATATGATGCTGAAGCTTGTCAGTTTTGGGGAGACTTTGTACTGTTTTATTCCTTCCGGTATTATCGATTTCAAGGGTCGTCAAGTGGTTGTTAAACGTCAAGCAAGGATAATAAACAGAAATAATTTGAGTGACCTGGCATAACGGAGAAAAACAATCCAGCTCATATGGTGGATCACTTGTTTAGTGTTTGTAGTTAGTTTTGGTTAGCAGAAATCCAAGAGATTATAGGAAAATCAGCTTATACCACGGTGACTGTTTAATCAGGTTTGTGGAGAATTGGTGGACCAGTTAAAGAGTACTAGCACTGTTCATGAGAAATCCAGAGTGATGAAAAGCAACTGGTGAGTCATTTTGATGCTATGTTCTTCAACTACTTATACGCCATCAGTATCGTAGCCAAATAAATTAGAAGACAACGCTGCTGGTAATGACCTGTAAGAGGGAGAGTACACGGACCGTTATTTATATATTTGATATTAACTTAGAAATCCGTGTATCGCTGAACAGTATGTTGCGAGGCCATTCAAATGGAATAGCTTAGGAAAAACATCACAATGTGGTGTGCACATACAGCAAATCCAAGCCGTATCAATGGGTAATTGTTTAGTTAACACGAGTAGAACTGGCAAAGTATAGTTTCATTCCAATTCCTTCACTACATGCACCACGCAGAGATATGTTGTTATTTACTGAAGAACTTGTCAAATAGGGTTCGGTATTCGTAGTTATATTATGGGGAATCTGCAAATTTAAGACCTGATTGTTATTGTTCTGGTCTTGCTCTTTCTTCGTAGAAGGGATAGGTGAATTTTCTGGATATCCTCATAAGCAATAGAACTAACTCAGTGCTTGTTCTAGGTTTGCTGTACTATCTCCATACCGTAAAAAGCAAACAGTTACACCCTTAAAAATGAGGTTTCAAAATTATCGAGTTACCTCGACATGACTGATTTCAATAATTCTTGTAATAATAATCTTATGCATAAGACTGGTATTTAGTCAGTTAACTAAAATCAAAAATTACATAGTGTTTACAGGTTTTGGGGGATCAGTTGTTTAAGATCGATTTTTGTCTGTTTCTCTTCCCATTTTGACTTTCATGTGGAGCAAATAAAGGGACCGTCTAATCGGTTTCGATAACTCCTTCCATCTTAGAATCTAGCCATACATTCGCCGGGAGATTACAATGGTGTCATGAATGTCATGTGAAATATCGAGTTCTATCATCTACTTTAATCGATACTGCAAACTTTGACTTCAGAATGCCAGTGCGCACTTAGTTTTCTCATTGTTCACCGAATTCCATTCTTTCAAACTAAGAAGTTGCTGTTGTTATGAGTATTTTCATGGCTTATTTTTAAGACTGTTCAAATCAATGCATCAGACAATCGAGGCTTTACATAATGTGACTAAAAATCAGCCATTTACATCAACCGCTATCCATTCGGATGTGGATTACTTTGTGGAACTACTTTATTTCATCGGAGTATACAAAATAAGTATGCTAGGTTCCTGTACCATTTTAACACTGGGAATTTAATTTAATGTTTCACTCATCAGTATTTTCTGGTATGTGTGACTTGTGTGTTTAACAGCTGATAAGACCAAATGACAATGCCGTTCAAGATTGTAGACTTGATTTATGAGATCCGACTAGCTACGCCTCGTCAAGTTCTTTTCAATTTTCAAAGCAATTTCCTGATAAAAAATATGGTTAAAAAAACAACTCTGGCATGAGTAAGACCATTTTAATTGTGATTTTCGTTTCATACAGCAAGTGAGAATCATTTTTGTTGTGCTTACTTAAATCAGTCTGGGTAGTTTCAAACGCAAGCAAGCGAAACGATCTTCCAATGATTTTAAAACTTTATGTAGGTATGTTTGTTACTGTTCTGTTACAGTTACCTCTTAAGACAGACACACGAGATCAACGTAGAACCTCGTGCACATGTGCACCGGTTCAAGTTGCCATACTTTACAGTAGTATACAAAGAACAAGTGAATAGAAAAAGAGTGACATCATAGTAGTCAATGTAGTGTGAGAGAATAAACAATTTGAAGATAACGGTTAGTTCGAACATTCAAGCTTCAGAACATTTCAAAGACTGAATACATCTAGGCTATTGTGGCCGGTTTTCAGCCATTTCACCAAGAGTCAATCCTCAGCCATTAATTTTTTTCGTCTCGAGGACCCCATCCAGGCATTCTGCATCTCACTACACGACTCAGGCGAACAGTGAAAGACTTCAAGGACTGGTGCCACGTCTTTGTCTAACCACCCCTTATCTTCAGCCTAATCCAACTTTCCCTCAGACGGCACGTCGAGGTAGGCAGTAGATCGGCATGCACAGCACACGTCGAAGCCAACTGAGTCGTTGAAGGTACACAACTTCATTGGCTGATTTGCCTACCTTGCCTGGTGCTTTTCACCTGATCTCGACATTGCTCATATGGTGATTCTATCAAATGCAAGCAATGTTGCAAAGAAACGTGCTATTAGAAACATGTAACCGCTTTATGTTTTCTACTTCTAACGGCTATGTCTCTCAGCCGCTTAACAAAACAAAGCGAACTCCAGCGCGGTATACTCGTCTGCTGACAGACAGCCGGATATCTCACCGACGCCAGAGATGAGACAGGTTGGCAAATGCTAGATGAGCCTCCTGTATCAGAGCTGAGATTTCGACAGCCATCAGCTCGTTTGGGCTGATACAACTCCCTGAATAAGTGAAGAGGTTAACGCATTCCACTTTCTCACTCTCTATCAATAAACTAGTATTAGTTTCAGATCAGTCATATAGCATTATATTACCTGTCGTATCGTGGCCAGACCAAGAAGTGGTACCAGTCTATGAAGTCTCTCACTATTCGTCTGAGTAGTGTGGGGGAGATGTAGACTGCTTGGTTGGGGTCCTCGAGACGAAAGAAATTAGAGGTTGAGGACTCTTGATGAAATAGCTGAAAATCGGTCACAATGGCGGATACATTCACTCCTTGACATCTTTCAAAGCTTGAATATTTGCACTAACCTTTAATCTTCGAATTGTTTATTCTCTCACACAACTTTTTCTTCTTTGATATCATTTCATTTCTACCAATCTGCTCTTTGTATACTACTGTAAAGTGTACCAACTTGAACCAATGCATGTGTGTGGGAGGCTCTAGGTTGATTTAGTCAGCCAATCCTGTCATATTGTTTTCCGCGTACCTGAATAATGTTATCGTATTACGTCATGTGAAGAAAATCTTACTTTGCATATACTGTGTCAAGTTTTACATTATCTAGAACCAAGATATGAGCAGTGTACATGATTCATCTTTAACTACTGATTTCAATTCAAATTATCTACTGTTTTTAACCTCCAAGATACATGATGTAAATATTTTGGTTTATTTCCATCCACTGATTGTTTTCTTGTCAGGTACAAAATCTTGGAATCAATGATGGAAAGTGAAGGTTTAACTGAAGAACAAGTGAGCGGCTTTTCATGTGTTAATTATTTAAGATGTTTTTCTAAAGGAATGTTTACAACAGTGTGTTGTTTATCAACAACTATTAGCTGTGACAATAATCACTTCTTTTTTTAAACTGTATGAAGTAATATAGTATGGTTAAGTATTACCATGTATTGATAAATAAATCTTCCTACCAAGTTTCAACGCACCCTATTGTATGTAAGTAGATAGTAAAACAACTAGAATCATGCTGTTTACAACATACATCAGATAATGTAAACATTGTGATTTCTATTATTACAGTTGCAATAATCATTATTTGGACTATGATTTCTTCGTGTATATATATCCGTTTTTAAGTGCCTTCATCATCATTATCAACATAGGGCCAGGCATTACTGCGTAACGGTCCGAGTTGCCACACCTCATATCAGTACATCAAGCAAAAAGGTAGTGAGGTGAAGGATGAAGATAAGTGAATGCAGTCAAAAGAAATATAAAGTACGAGAAGAAAGGAAAGAGGAGTGACAAAATAGTGAGATTCGGTATAGCGTTGTTAAGATGAGGATAATGTGTGTATACATCTGCGCCACTGACATCGGTTCTGAGCCATATCACCTAGGGTCTCCAACCACTGGTTCCTCTTGTCCCGTGGACCCCAACCACCTAGTCTGCATCGTCCTACATGGTTCAAACCGACAGTCAGAGACTTCATGCATTGATGCCATGTTTTAGTCTGGCCACCTCGGGCCTTGCTATAGCCTGGACCTACTTCCGCCAACATTGTGACGAGGCAATCGGCGACTATACATACGTAAGATGTGTCCCAACCAGCCATCTCAGTCGATGAAGGTTCACAACCTCGTCAACTGACTTACCTCTTCTCCCCAAAACTCTACACCTAACTTCTGCATTACTCACGTGGCGACACCATGGAATACGTCCTATATTAGGAAGGCAACGGTGGTCAAACACCTGGAGTCTTTCTGTATCCTCCACTTTCAATGGCCATGTTTCACAGCCATACAGTGCCTTAGCTTTCATCTATCTTGTCTAGTAAGGTGATGGCACCGCTAATTGTAGCCAAGTTTCTGCTCAAAGTTTCAAGAAAGCTTGCAAATTTTGACATCCAGTAATTCCTTTTAAATTAAGATTTATCTGTTGACTTGAACTGCAAAGATAGCCTTAAGTTCCCTGAATGATGTTATTGATGGAATCAGTGACATTTTTTTCACGCATAGCAGGCTTTCATGAGCTTGACATACATAGCTACATCTCTGAGATATTAAACTCAGGCAGATCATAGTGATCTAGACACCGGACGGCGAAATCTACAGATCAGCCTGTATAGGGTTTCTAACAACTCAAGTTATTCAGTAGTAGCATATTTCGTTAGTTCATGACACCTTTGTATCAGAGATAACACGTTATGATCTTGACTGGATGGTTTCCAATGGAAACGCCATAGTAGGGCAGTTGAAAAACTACTCAACTGTAAGAAAAATCCACGTGCAATTTGTAAGTCACTTGCAAATTGATCATCCCCTTTTGAAGTCTCCACTGATATTCATAGTGATAACGTATAATTTTCTTTCCTTGAGAGTAATATTCATTCAACTATTAGTTTATGATAGCCATTTTGTAGTGTAATAAACATTTTTCTTCAAATTTGTTAAAACTGTTTTGTTGACCAATACTTTTGATGAATTCCTTTGTCAAACAATGGGTTCATTATTCATTTGTTCATCACATAAACGAGGATAGTAAGCGAAGTTTGAAACAATGCGCACATACATGTCTGTTAACCTGTGTGAGCAAATAAAAGATTGTCAGCATAGTGAGCATTTTTGCGTTAAACTTAAAAATGAAATTTTTTTTGGCGGTATCGATTAAAAATTTAGTTCAGACGATATATTTGACAAGGATTGTATATAGAGAGGTCGACATGAGAATTTACTATGGTGAAATGTATGAGAATGTCGTAAACTGCATTGTCGGTCACCGATCAACAACATTTCTAAAGTTAGTGTAGTTAAAGGGAGTCATTACTAGGGATGTCTTTTAATAAATCACTTATTGTAAAGTAAATAATCATCACTTTAATGGGTTCCCTTCATGTTAGTTATTCTAGTGTTTGCTTATTCTTTGCTGGTTTCATTTTCTGTTATTTACTCTTGTAATTGTTCAGTAGAAACTGTGACTCATTAGTTTAGGGAGTTGACTTTCTGAGAGTAGTGGATCACGGGTTTGAACATCGCTCGAACTACCGCGGTTTAGGCAACCAGGTAGTATCATTAGCCCTCACACAATCAATGTGGTTTATCGCCTACTGCATTAATATGGAGAAGGTTACTGAGTGTATTTCAATTTTTCGAATTGTCCAATGTATTTCTTTCCCATCTGACCTCCATTTGCATGGGGATATATAATATTGTCTTGCATCTGTTTATTCAGTTTAACACCCCTTTGTAGTGACCATATACTTACTTACTCCTTTGTATTCATTTACAGAGGCCATCAACTGTTGGAATTCGTAGGTGGTTATATCGTATTACCTGGGGATTAGGATAGAAATAGATCTGCCAGACCTTTTTTAGTGGATAAATTCATGTACCCTATAGTTCTCTAGAAACCTGCGTATTCACTATGATTCTTGCAGACATATTCCTACTCATGCCAGGGCTAGTTGTGATGTAGATTCCCAATATGTTTCTGGGAGAGGAAGGGGCTGTTACTCAATGATTTAGGCTGCTTACTTTTAGCAGTCTGTCATAGGTTCATATTCAACTCTCCTTACTGAGGTTCAGGCAACTATGTAGTATTGTCGGCTGTCACTTAATGTAGGGTTCACTGTCTATTGCACAAACGTTCACATAGTTACTTGATTACTTTTCATTCCAGTATATATAGGTTTCATCAATCATATTTGAAAAATCCACTTTCCAGTAGCAGTTTCAGTCATATAATTTCCCACCCATCGCTGCCTAGCTTTTAACCGTATACATAAATACAGGATTGTTGAATCGAAAAATTGGAATTTACTCAGCAATCTTGCCCACATTCGTGCAGTAGGGAATCAACTATACCTATTGTATGAGGGCTAGTGACACTGTCTGGGTGCCTAAACCTCGGTAAGTGGAGTTGGTTTCGAACTGGTAACCTATCGGTTGGAAATCAAGTGACAAGACCAGTGAGAGTCACAGCTGCATACAGAGTTGTACTCGTCTTACGTCTTTGGTGTATTTTAATCGTTATGGTCTTTTTGAAATTAATTTTGAATCATACAGCATGTATATAGTGGCATACATGACCACAAAGAGCAGTTTATGGTATTTCTTTCTGTATCTGAAGCTTGAATGTCTTAATTGACGTTAATTTTCAAATTCCCATTCCATCTATGCACCTTTGTCTACTTTGATGTGAGTTTTATTCTGTCCACTTGTTCTTTTTATACTACTGCACTTGTGTATCAGGGCCTAAGTTGATTTTGTCTGTCTGTATCTGAATTGACGTACCTCACGTGTGGTAATGCTTCAGTTTCCCTTCATTTATATAATGTCGACTAGATTTCTTCTTAACGTGGGAAAGGTTTACGAGAGAAAAAGGTATTACATGTACCCTGGTTTTATTTTTCTTAGGTTTTACGAGCCTTTTGTTGATTATATGTCTTTACTGTATTACTTTTGTGTTTCTATATCTCAACCTTGAACTCTAAATTCTCATCGTCTAGACAATTTCAGTCATAATATTTCACTTTATTAGAAAATAAATAGTCATTGGTTTCTAGGGCGTTTAGTTGATTTTCTCATACTAATGCACAGAAAATTTGAGGCGACTACAAGTTGTACTAGTCTGGCACTACTCTACTACGTATACCCTCTGTTGTAAGAATCACTGAAACGATAATTTTCAAGTCTTATCTGAGGGAAGTTGCCCTGGATTGGATACATTGTGATCCACTAGTTCAAATGTTTTTAAACATTGAGTAATTTCGTCACCTACTACAAGCATCCTGTAATGACACTGTTGAAACCTTGTTTTTTTGTTAACCTGTTCATCTTTCATGGTTGTTTGTCTCCCTTATCATGATACACACTACTAATAGAAGAGGATTTCGATCCTTAGCTATTCAAATAAATTGTTATATCCTTTTTATCTGACCCTCTTAAACGCGAAAATTCGATGTGGTTACAGGTGTTCTTGTAGTTTTATTGGTATCTGAGTGAGAGTTTTTCTGTGTTGAGGTTTAACTGCCACTTTCTTCAGTTTGAAATATGTGGTAGTGTTTTGATTGTCGATATTTTATTGTTTCATCGATTCTACTTAGGTGATTGTAGTGCACCAGTACACGCTTATGTAACATGATTATGCCAGGGATGTCAAGGTTTCATTACAGCGGTAATTATACCGGTCACTAAAGACAAAATATTTTCTCAACAAAGAACAACTATAAAATGTGGTAGATTATGTACTACGTCTAAAGCATGAGCTGACTATTTTGCCCTTGTAATATGATATTAACTTATACAATTATTATTATTTATCCCTTGGGTTCCTAGTGGAATATAGGGCTTCAGTAGCACATCTCCATTGTATTTTCTTCTCTGCAGTCTTTTCATCCGGGCTCCACCTCTGCCCAGAAGCTTTCATTTCTTCCTCACGTGATCTCCATGTCACCCTCTCCCTAGACGCCCAACTCGTCGTTTCCCATCTGGGTTCCACCCGACAGCCTGGCCTAGCCTGGCGTGTGATGTCCCTAAACAGTCTGCTCAGTGTATGCCCAATCCATATCCACTTCCTTCTGTATATTTGTTGGGAGATAGGTTCTTGGTTGTTTCGTTGCCAGCTAAAGTGAGTTCCTCCTTGCTTATTCTTATTATTTTGGCCATCCATCTGATCTTCAGTGTCAGTATCGCGTGAGCGTTTGAGGCGACCGTTGATGTGATGTATGTTTGTAGTTTGTTGGAAATGCTTTCGTGAGGTGTCAAGTTTCTGAAGCATCATATAGAAGCAGTGACTCACTTGAATGAAATTAGTGTCAAAATGCGGATCTTATTCACGCTTTATGCTGAATACAGTAGTAGATTTCCACACTGATTGGTTTCAGATTAATGAAGGGAGGCCTGTCTTGCTGTCTTTCCAATCCTGGCTTCGACGTCCCCATATGTGCCTGTTCCGCCTGTAGTTGAGACGATGTTTCCTAGGTAGGTAGGTAGGTAGGTATGTAGGTAGGTGAAAGAGACTACTTCCTTTAGGTTTCTTCTGTTGATGGTGATTAATACTTGTTGTTGTTGGTCGGGTATCTTCATCACCTCTACCTCTGTCTTCTCTACATTCATATGAACTCCCGTTTTCGCTGCCTCTTCTGTCAACTTGTTAGTTTTCGCCTGTAGATCTTCGAGTATGATATTAACTTGGAGTGCTGTAAATCAGAATCTTTAATTCATGGTAATTTTGTCATTCTTTTTATATGCGTTTGAATGGTATTTTTTTTAGATAAAAAAAATTTAGATACTTTCTATTGAATGCAACTTGTCTTATACATATTTGGAGTTATTGAAGGGGATTAGAATGTAAATCCAGTCTGTGCATCGGCTTCCTCAACCTCACAATTATTTGATTGATTTGTCGCTATATCCAACTATCTTTGCACCAAGCTGTTGTCTGTGTAAACATCTATGTATCAGCAGTAAGGATGTCGGTTTGATTCAGTTATATTGGTTTAGTGTTCCTCATTGTTTTCAGACTTTATCTTTATTGAACTGTAACTCTATTTTAAAGAGTTGACTAATCTAAAAGTTGCCAACCGTAGATTATTATATTATTCTTATTTGTCCCTAGTGGACTGCCCGCGCACTCTTCTTCACTTCTTTGTCCAGTGTTTTATAGGTTGTACTCAGCTCCCCTTTTCGTTGCTCATCCTTGCAATGGTTTGTCTTCTGCTTCACCATCTTCCTCTCCCTTCTCTTTCAGCTTCCATGTATCCGTCGAGATCCATTCCTTATCTTCTTTCTTCTTCCTTCCTAATACGGTTATGCAAGTTTCTTTCCACATAGCTTTCAGAGAGTTCCAGTGTTCATCCACACAGGTTTCACCAGGGATGTTGCTCAATGTCTCCAATTTTGTTCTGATGGGCTGACTGATGTGAAGATGTCCTTTGTAGTTTCGTCCTTCAGTTTCTGTTCTGGGTGTTGATCTTAAACTGTAGCCTCTCACCAACTTCTTTGGTTTCGGCTTTCAACTTGATTTTGAAGGTAGTTTCCTTGCACTAGATACTGAGTGGTGTGAAGCCACATCAGCTCCTCTTCTTCATCTGATCTTGTGTCCAGTAGGCTGGCTAAGTCTCCACTTTCTTCACATTGGGATGAAATCGATCTGATTTTTAGTGTAGTGTGCCTGGTGTTTGGTTAAATCAAATCCATGTAGCTGCTTTGTGAATATCCTTGTGTTTGTACACGTTGCCTCTAATCACCAAGTCGATGAATGCGCAGAAGTCTGCAAACAGTTTTCCATTCTCATTCATCATTTCACCAAGTGCTTCTCGATCCATGATTAATTCGCTTCCTATATTGTCTGCTCTCAGTTTGGCATTCATGTCACCCACCTGGAACGGGATCTTGTCCATTACTGAACGCAGTTATCTGTAGAATTCCTCCTTCTTCTCTTGGTCCGCGTCTGCATTATTTGTAGGTGCATAGCGTAGCAATGGATGTTTGTGACTTTCCTTCCTTTTGAGTATTATCTTGCTGTCATGTTCTTGGTCCTGCAGAAGGAAATTGGTTCTCACTGCGTGAGAGAGAGCTTTCGATGCTGTTGGGGACATCATGATAGCCACTCCAAAACCCAGTATGCTCGTAGTTGTCGTCTGGGTGTCAATATCGGGGCAAATTATTGACTCTCCAGTTGACAGTTTGGAGAGTCCACTTCCGTCCCATCTGCAGATTCCTAGCACATCTATGCTATACTTTGTCATCTCCTTTGCAATCTGGACAGCCTTTCCAGGCAGCCAGCTTCAAATATTGTATGAACATTCTATGTCCCCATTCTTAGTTTTGCTTTCATGGAGAGAGAGAGAAGACACATTGGTCAATTGGTTTCCCGTAGTCTTTTATCAATCGGCGTCATTTCGCCTCTCCGATTCCAGCGAGGGATTATTTTGTTTTTATTTTTTCCGTATTCTCTCTGTGCTTTGAAGTTTCTTTAGCGATTGGATTGGTTTTCCTGGGTAGGGTTGCTAGCTGTATGCCCAACTTTCCCTCATTATCCGGACTTAGGAGCGGCTGGTAACTAGTGAACTAGTAAACTAGGCGAGATTCAACCGTAGAATCAGCATACTCTGACGCAACTCTTGTGCAGCATTCCTTGGTTTTTAATAATACTGCAACGAATGTCGTTTCATGAGGGAATTCCACTTCGAATTAATGACACAGAATTACTGACTTAATTACTTAATCTTTAAAACCACAAGTAATTTATCATTTAACTAACGGGCAAATGTTTAATTCACAGCGGTAAGCTGCTCTATATGACTCTCAATAGATTGCAATAGACGTGAAATATTAATAAGACGAGTTAGTTCAAGTTCTAAAGCTTCAGTCCTTTCATTTCTCTCATTCCATATGCACAAACCGTCGCTAAGAAGAACTAAATATCCTCAAGGTTTGTTGAGAGCACATTGTCTTTGAAATACTGGATCGAATTCCAATGGTTTGTGTACTCATCACTAGTCAACTCGCGATGTACAATTTATCTTTCACACTAGCTGACTGAATAGTTGAACATTCGAATTGATGTTATTCTATCGGTTACTCCTATCAACGTTGACACAGTGAATTCAAGAATTTTTGTATACTTTGAGATACATTTTTATCATAGATTTAATATCCAAACTAAGTTAGTCGTTAGTTAAACAGTTTGAAATAATCCATAGAAGTTTGTCTGTGACAAACGTTTATTTATGTTACTTGGATCGAGGTAATTAGGAGGAAGCCCGAAATCACAACACCTAAGTTAAACAGGTCTCCCTCCAACCAACGTTTCTCTCATTGCAACGCGATGATGAGTCTCCTAGCCTGGTGATTACATTGCGAAATAATTCATAGAATATTCGATTAGTACATGGGACTAGACAAGATGAAGTTGGTTACCATCCAGTAGACGTTAGATTTGATCAACTGTGAAGAATATTGAAAGCAAATAAAGCTTTCTACAATGTGGTTTGATATTTGATAATTGTAGGGCTAGTGACTGACTGACAGAGTCAACGTACAACCTTGCAAACGGGTGTGTCGGTTCACAGTAGTTTACAAAGAACAAGTGGATAGAGTAAGACTGATATAAAAGTAGACAAAGTTTTGGGATAACGGTTAGTGTGAATATTCAATCTTTGGAAGATGTCAAGGAGTGAATACATCTGTACCACTGTGACCAATTCTCAGCCATGTCACCAAGAGTCTTCAACCACGTATTCTTTTTCATCTCGAGGACCCCAACCAGGGAGTCTACATCTCATCATAATACTCAGACGAACAGTGAGAGTCTTCATGAACTGGTGCCACGTCTTAATGTGGTCACCCTGAACCGTCTTCCAGCCTAATCCAATTTTCCCTAGGATGGGACATCAAGGTGGGCGGGAGTTCGGCATAGTCTGTGCTGATATAAATTAATGACCTCTAATAGGGCTAGTATAAATCAAGAGTGGTAACATTCTTCTGCGTAATTATGTCAGATATATTTTCAGTGAAGTCGGAATCGACCGAAATCCCCTCAATCTCACCTAGTGGGGATTTCTTATTCAAGAATACATTTATCCAGTTACAGCTTACCTTTGACAAATTATTTGCGTCCCACTTATTGTGACAACTGGATGAAGGTGTAAATAACCCGCGGGATAAATGACGATGCAGTTTATTTCAAAAAATGCGATTAAACAATGAAATCAACTTTACTTCGATACATATTTACAAGCTTTAGCAAGCTGACTTCGTAATCTAAACTATCCAACCAGGTATGCATTAAGATTTCTTGAATAAACAAATAAACTGATCAAATATGTGTAGAGATAGTATTCATCACAGATTGATATCAGTTGGGGTACTATTGAAAATCTGGGGGCACTGGATAGCTGCTTCATCCTAGTATGTTACTTCTCGGCAGTACGCACCCACGATCCGTGAACCAATGAAAACCAACCCAGTGGCTGAGTGGTTAACGCGTTCGCCATGAAATCTGGAGGTCCTGAGTTCGACCCCTAGCCGGGTCGTGGGTGCGTACTGCCGAAGAGTCCTTTACGAGGACGAAACGGCTGATCAGTGCTTCCAGATTTTCAATGGTTCCGTAACTGATGTCAATGCATGATGAATACTACCTCTGAATTGAAAATCCCCATTCATCTCAAAAATATATTACTGATCGGATATACACTTTTCTGTTACTGTCGTTGGAAACTACTTCTTTCTCCTTATATTGAACGCTGTTATATTTTTTTTCCTGTTTTATAACATAACAGAAACAAATTAAACGTACACAACATGCATTGAAAGAAAGTGAATTTCTTCGACTGAAGAGAGCGCGGCTAACAGTTGATGATTTCCTTCCTTTAAAAATAATTGGTAAAGGTGCTTTCGGTGAAGTAAGTCCTTTCTTTTTTGATCGAATATTGAAATGATAGTCTTCTCCAAATAGAATAAAAGTATCCAGTGTACTAAAGCATACTTGCTTATCTTAGTGTTACCAATACATGAAAGTTAGACAATGGAGAACATTGTTTTGACATAGTACCGTCGAGTATACTCAATTCAGAGATATACAGTTTCATTGGCGTTGAAAGCTTATTATGCGAAATTGGTGCATACTTAACTCTTCACAATCATGGATTAACTTTTAAAAAGTGATCTAAATAAGCGTACATTTCATTTATCATGCTTTTTGTCAGCACTCTCACAAACACCTAGATATATGAACTTCCAGATGACTTGTAACATTTTATCTTTGAAAGTTATTGCGTGCGAACAGGGTTCTTCCGATACTATAGAAGCAATTGGGCATTGAAAATCAATATAAACCGCTTATGGAGTGATAATCGTCAACCAATTAAATATGATTTAAGTGGACTATATTTTATCATTCAATAGTAGTAGTAAAATATCGTCCTTATGCTAAACATCAAAACGTTTTCTTCTGGGATAAAAGTAGAAAGATTCAGATATGCAACTGTGAGTAGTTAACACACTCAGCCACTTTGTGTTCATTCACATGGTAGACATTGAGCCACGCGTATTCTATGAGGGCTAGTAATACTACCTAGCAGCTTAAACCTTGTTAGGTGGAACGGAGATCATCTCCGTAAATCACTGAGCTACAGCTCCACTTGTAATTGGTTACTTAAAGCAGTATGCTAGTTTTATTAGAAATAACAAAGAACGATGACATAGACAATATCTACAGCAATATTGATCATAACTTCAGTAATACTCATTATTTCCTGATTTAAAGTGGAATCGAATAACTCTCCCTTTTGAATGACAATTACTACATTGATTCTCTTCTATTTTATACTACAATACAATTCAGTTTTTTTTTCGTTTCCCTGCTTACTGCTTACATAACTATCTATAATATTGTAATGGACTGATTGATTGACTAAATGGTTAGTTTATTCAACTTGAAAATGTTTACAGCATTACAATCATTTGTCTTTTATTCTCGATGCTGTTGAGACTACTGTATTTGTGTATATGTGTCTACTGGATACACCTATTCAGATGCTGTTATGTAATTCACTAACTATGCTTACGTTTAAATGCATGAATGGGTAACTTTCGCTAGAGTCTACTGAAATTTTTCGTGATATGAATCAGTATTGTTTTGTTTTTATCTCTCTTGTAAAATATGAATCCTTTTTTATACTTTCTGTTCTCCGTGATATTGATAAACCTTTATCATGTGTAATCGAAATATAATCACCCATTATTGTTTATATTCCTGCAATAGGTAATAAGCCACACCTAATATATTGGGCCAATGATTTACAACCTCCCACAATGTACTACTTATTAGTTAACTGTATTTAATTTACAATCAAGTTTTAGTATATCGATTGTAACTACAAAGTTACACTTTAAATCTTAGACCTCTATCTATTCGGTTAAATTGGTTGTTATGATAGTCAGGTCAGTACAAGTTGAGAATGGAGAGTTCATTATTTTTGAGATGAATTAGGATTTTTTAATTAAGAAGTAGTATTCATCATGGATTGACATCAGTTGGGGAACTATTAAAAATCTGGGAGCATTGAACAACTGTTTCATCCTAGTATGGGACTCCTCGGTATTACTCACCCATGACCTGGCTAGGAATCGAACTCAGGACATTCAGGTTTCATGGCGAACGTGTTAACCATTCAGTCACTGGGTTGGTTTTCAGTGGTTCACAATTTCCAACTTCTGTCAATTCACGATATAGTGCGACTATCACCCAACGTCTTCAGTTAGTATCCACTTCACTTCCGACTGGTTGACCCTACAAGTCATGGCTTCTGATTAGAGCTTCGTGATATCCATCTGGAAGCAAGTGAACCACTGAAAAACGACCCGGGGGTTGGATGCTTAACGTGTTCGCCGTAAAACCTAAAGGTCCTGGGTTCGATATCTAGTGGAGCGGGGTCATGAGTGCGCACTTCTGAGGAGTCCTATACCAAGACGAAACACCTGTCCACTGCTCCCAGGTTTCCAATATTCCTCCAACTGATCTCAGTCCATAATGAATACCAAGTTGGAAAAAAAAACATTTCGAACAATCTTAAGTATTTGCACGAAATTTATTATTAATTGATACTTGTAATCTATATAAAAGGTTACAAAAGGATGTGGCGTGAGAATATGGAAAGAGATCAGTTGATAAGGCTAAACCAAAGGTCAAAATAACCGAAAATCACGTAACCTTAGTTTCAGAGATTAATGCAATAACAACGTGTTTCTAATTTTAATATATGTCGCCATGTTTTCTAACTGGTCGTGAATGATGTAGAAATGTCAATTCTATGACCTGTCTCAATGATGTTTTGAAGTTGAAGAGCTTGGACATTAGATATTAAAGTTTATGGTTCCAAATGATTCGGTTAGTTTTTGAAACTACTTTGGAATAAGCTCTGAGGTCCTTATTTGGATGAATTTTTAAGTTCTACTTGACTGAGTATCACCACACGTGCATTTAAATTGGTAGACATAGTAGGATGTAATTATGTTGTTCATAAGCTGTAATGGCTTAAGAAAGTATACAGGTTTGGTAGTTCCTGTTAACCTGACCCTAGCTGTATATCATGTTCTTCTAACTTCAGCATTATCTCTGCTTAAGAAAATGTACCATAAGAGTTAAATTTTTATGGAAGCTTGATGATGACATCTTTCTTCGGGATAACGTGAAGAATACGTTTCGGTACTGTAGACAATTTGTACCGACTTATGAATTTTGATAGCTAGTTATTTTCCATCACTGTTTCAGTCCACCTTCTTGTCTCATCTTTCAAAGTACTCTCTGTGTATAATCGTTGAATTTTATTCAATAAACTCATCTGACCAGTACATGCTTTTATAGAACTGGACGAAATCTATGCATATAGGTTTTCTGAAAACAGATCATTTCGTGGATCCATCCTGCCATCCACTAAGTAGTATCTTTAAGATGCAGAAATAATCATCTTCTTCTTCTACATATGTCAGGAATATGCTATTCTGTGCTCCATGGAGTGGGCTTATAATTCAATTGGATTAAATTGAATTACCACATATAATAAATACATGATCAACATGCTTTCTATATAAACGAGCCTTTTCGATTACGTCCTGGACTAAGTTTTCAACGTACCTCATAAATATATCTCCCATAAAGAAACCTGAAGGGACTTCCCTTGACAGCATCATCAATCTGACAAAAGTGTTCTTTCCCAACTGTAAATTTAATATTGTTTGTACATAAAAGTAATAACTGTTTTTCAAATGATCCACACACAGAGAGAGAGAGGTAACGCAAAACTATGCACAAAAATATAATCACATAAAATGTCAGTTGTCCTAACCAAGGAGACGTTAACTGACTGTATTCTTCTTTTTTCTGAAAGGAAACAGTATCCTGTATATAAAGAGAGGCGCTCCACTTTATTTCTTACTGAAGCTGATGTGACTCAAGGTCCAATACTTTCTTCGGTTCTGTTCTCTTTCTTTTTGCATGATTTATCTTATTCTGTCGAAACTAATTCCATTAAGTATGCTGATGATGTGACGGTGTCTATTCCAGTCAACTCTCACTTAGATTGCTCTGAATAAAACAGATTCTTATCTGTAACTGACCAATCGTCTCTCTCAAATGGTCTCAAGTTAAATCCTTCTAAATGTCAGACTGTTAGTTTTAGCCTCAAACATGAACAAGACTTGTGTCAGGTGCTTAGGTCCCATAACTCCTGTTGTATTGACGGTATTTCAACAGAAAGTGAATCGAGTGTTAACTATCTTGCACTGAGTTTTACTTCGAATGTTGATCGTCTCATATCTTGTTGACTTGTAAAAAAATCTTTCGTTTAGTGTATTACATAGAGAAACTGAGGCTATCTGGTATAACTCAACTTCTAGTGTTACAATTTACTAATTCCTGCATTTCACCTATTCTTCTCTATTGTTCTCCGTTGATCTCTCTTAGTCTACTAAAAAAGGACTATGTTGTATTGCGTATGGCTTTGAAAGCCGTCAGTAGGGTGAGTGGTGTCTCTCTGCCTCAACTGATTAACACTGTATTTGGTAGACATTTTAATTCCAGCAAGCAACTAGCTACAGTAATCTTAACTAACACTGAGCATCCGCTTTATTCCCTGGATTCCTCTGCTAGCTAGTGACAGGCCTACTTGAACCTTGAGGTACCAAAATTATCTATCGAATATTTTTCACCAAATTCTTTCCTTACAATTTGTTTTAATCATTTAAATATATCCTTTAAACGTATCATGTACTCTTACATATTTTAAAACTCTTTTCAACTCTCCATTTCTCGATTCAGTAACAAAGCATAGGAAAAAAATACTACCTGATATGTAAGTGGACTTTTCAGTGCATAGCAGTATATCATATCTCTCAAGTTGGTATTCATCATGGACTGAGATCAGTTGAAGGAACAATGGAAACCTTGGAGCACTGGACAGCTGTTTCATCCTAGTACGGGACTCCCCAGCAGTGCGCACTCACAACCCCGCCCCACCAGGGATGGAACCCAAGACCTTCAGGTTCCCTGACCAGCACGTTACCATTGACCAACTGGATCGGAATCCAATGGTTCATATTTCGTACTTCTGTCAGTTGATGATATAGCGTGACTTACATGCATTGTCATCGTTGAGTAACTGTCCTCATATTCAGCTTGGTTGACTCCACTGATCACAACCTCTCATTAGAACTTCGGGAATCATCTCTCGAAACTAGTCACCAATGAGCGCTAGGATAATTCGTTCTGGAGGTTTGTGAAGATTTGTTAATTGATTTTAGGTTGGAATTGATCGTGGACTGACATCAGTTAGAGAAACATTGGAAACCTAGGAGCACTGGAGAGTTGCTTCATCTTATTATGGGACTCCTCAGCAGTGTGCAG